AAGAAGTCACTGAACTCTTATAAAGAGAATTTTTAAGGGGTTAGCAGCCTCCCTGAAAAATTCAGGAAAACCAATAAGAAAAAGAATGGTTTTCATCTTTTCATAAAGTTCTTCTCCAGAGCCACTGAGGTTCTCGGTAGAGAGTGGATATTCCGTTTCACCCGATCCTCCAGGGAGGAAGTAGATGCACTCTCTAGCTTCATGCGGCTAGGAAGAGAAGACAGGGGAATGGAAATTAAAAACATTTGTCAATTGGTCAGGTCTGGCAGAATTAGAAGAAACAGGTTGCTAGTCTTAAAGCAACTGTAGAAACAAGCTCTTTTAAGCCCACATAGAAAATTTTCAAGTTAATCCATCTGGAACCAAATTTTTTAAATGTCCATAAGAGAAAATTCATCTGCTTTTGAAAATAAGTCAAAGTCTCATTGGGAAAAAAGACTTTCTGAGCCATTAATTCTTATTTAAAAGAAATGCAGGGCCAGGGTCATGGCTCAGCAGTAGAGCACTTGCCTAGCATGTGTGAGGCACTGGGTTTGATTCTCAGCACCACATATAAATAAATGAATAAAATAAAAGGTCCTTCAACAACTAAAATAAATAAGAAATGCCAAAGAATTTCAGAGATTTAGAGAAAATACTAATTCACTTCTCCCTCTTCCAAATCAAAACCTCCCACTATCTGGCCAGAAGCTACGAGTGGTAAAAAAGGTGGTCCTAAAGCTGAGCTCCATATTCTCCCTGCAGACACAGTGACACCTGGAACACACTGAACCCCACTGTTAGAATCTCTCCTTGAGAACAATCCCATGGAGCCCCAGGCGGGAAGAAATGTACTCACTGGATGAACTTCCCATCCCGGGAGTCTAGCTTCTCCAGCCTCCGTTCCCGTTCGTCCTCCCTAGCGTGCCTTTTGAGGATGTTCAGCCTCTCCTCTTCCCTCCACTTAGCATTTTCCATCATCTCCTGCCGTTTTCGTTCCAGTTCCTCTGCTGAGAGTTTTCTGTTGAACACAAAAACCATCCCATCAATTCTACCTCACTCCTAGCAAAAATCCCAGAAGCAGCACAGGGAGATAAAGGTCAGCAGGACCCAAGCTCTCCAGCCCATGGCTTTCTCCAAGGAAATGGCCAGAGCAGTGCCATGTCCAGCATGAGTTTCCCTCCTACTAACATAGTGTGGTGCAGAGGTACTGGGGATTGAACTCAAAGGTGCTCTACCACTGAGCTACAACTTTAGCCCTTTATTATTTTTTGACTGGGTCTAAGTTGCCAAGTCTGGCCTTGAATTTAGGATTGTCCCAAGTCACTGAGATTACAGGCAACCATTGGCTCCTCTTAACATCTTGGTCAGGTATTTTCACCCAAATTTTAAACACTTTTAGAATCTCACAATCTTGGCAGTTGGGCATGGTGGCGCACACCTATAATCTCAGCAGCTTGGGAGACTGAAGCAGGAAGATTGAAAGTTCAAAGCCAGCCTCAGCAATTTAGCGAGGCTATAAACAACCTAGCGAGAYCCTGTCTCAAAATAAATAAATAAATAAAAATGGTTGGGGATATAGCTCAGTAGTAAAGCACCCCTGGGTTCACTCCCTGGTACCCCCAACCCCCTGCAAAAAAGGCTTGCCAGAGGCAACTGAGATATCCCTGGATTCCCAAGCAAAACTTGAAGCTGGAGATTACTCTGCCAAACATCTATAGGAGACCCTGTGGTTTACCCTCTGGAGAAACTGAACCATACAGGAGAAAAAAGATTCAGAAGTATCAGGCACAGCACAGAAAGTTGGCAAGGCCACCATACTGCAAAGAGGATGAAGTGACGCCCACATGCTCCACACTGAGACTCCCAGTCCCTGATGGGATCTGTGCCTCTTTCAGAATGCCAACAGCCAGGATCAGGCAACTAGAGGATTTTTTTTTTTTTCTGGAGAAATTTACCAGTCCCTAACAAAAGAATCAAAGTTACTGACAGCTGAGAGTCCCAGATGAAAAAACAGTTCAACTCTACCCAATCACCTACCAATAGACAAACCCCTGTAGGTACAGTGTTTCAATTTTTTTATACCTCACTCTTAAATATGAATGCAAAGTGAAATATCACCAGACAGTTCAGGAAAGCCTCAAAAAAATGAATGACAGAAACCAAAACAAACAGAAAAGGGAAATTAGGAAAAGACAAAGCAAAAACAAAACTTTTAAAAATCTCACTCAAAGCCAGGTGTGGTGGCACATGCCTCTAATCCCAGCAGCTTGAGARGCTGAGGCAGGAAGATTGAGAGTTCAAAGGCAGCCTCAGCAAAAGTGAGATGCTAAGCAACTAGGTGAGACTCTGTTTCTAAATTTAAAAAATACAAAATAGGGCAGGGGATGTCGCTCCATGTTTGAATGTCCCCAAGTTCAATCCCTAATACCCCAAAAAATCAAATAATTAAAATCTCACTCGAGCTGGGGATATAGCTCATGGTAGAGCACTTGCCTAGCCTGAGTGAGGCCCTGAGTTCAATTCAATACTGCAAAAAAAAWAAAATAAAATCTCACTCAGATAAAATATATTACAGCATTTAGTGAGGCTAGGAGGTTTTTAAAATGAGACAATCAGAGGTGGATGGAAGAGCTCTTGTCTAGCATGCACAAGGTTCTGGGTTATATGCCCAGCACTTCAAAGTAAAAAAGAGAAACAAGGAACAATCAAATAACATAAAGACCTCTTGCAAGCTCAAGGCCAGCCTTGGCAACTTAACAAGATCCTGTCTCAAAAAGCCAGGCACATTGGTGCACGCCTGTAATTCCACTCGSAAGTTCAAAGCCAGACTCAGCAAAAGTGAGGTGCTAAACAACTCAGTTAGACCCTGTCTCTAAATAAAATACAAAATAGGGCTGGGGATGTGGCTCAGTGTTTGAGTGCCCCTGAGTTCAATCCCTAGTACCAAAAAAAAAAAAAGACTGGGAAGATACTCAGTGGTAAAATACCCTGGGTTTAATCCCCAGTATGAAAAGTAAAAAAGCCGGGCTGGGGTTGTGGCTCAGCAGTAGAGTGCACATCTAGCACACGCGAGGCTGTAGGTTCAATCTTCAGCACCACATAAAAAATAAATAAAATAAACATGTTATTAAAAAAAAAAAAGGAAGAAAAGTAAAAAAGCCAAAATATTTAAAAAGGCTTCTAGGTGAGGGCTGGAGTTGTGGCTCAACGGTACAGTGTTTGCCTGGCATGCGTGAGTCCCTGGGTTCAATCCTCAGAGTCGCAAAGAAAGAGAAGAAAGAGAAGAAAGAGAAAGAGAAGAAAGAAAGAGAGAAAGAAAGAAAGAAAGAAAAGATCCATTGACAACTAAAAAATAGACTTCTAGGTGAAAACCTCTGTGAGTACTGCCAGACCAATATATGATGAAAGACTCTCACTTAAAGTTTTTATTAGATCAACACTATTGACTTTGTCCTTTCAATGTGTCTAACAAGGTATGAGAGAGTGGGGGAAGATATTAAAAGCTGACCAGATAAATAAGAGTTGGTGTGGCAAACAGGTCATATAGATTACCCACTTGCCCTGCTGTGGGCCACTCCTAGGTTAGGGCCTGCAGAATATGAAGTTAATCTACTGCCCTCATAACTTACCTGGTATATCCAGAAGCATGCCGCCTCTGATAGACCTCCTTTTTAGGTGATGGGGTCTTAGTCTGGTCCCTCTCTCTCCTGTTTGCCTTAGAGTTGTGCCTGTAATGGACACAGAGATTATTTTCCAGAGATTATTCTTCAAATAATGAAAAAAAGAGCTAGCCATCTTAAAACTAGTCCATAAGAAAGATGAGAGAGAGGATATTGTACCAGTGTAATATATTCCTATAAATATGTGGTTGTAGGGACTGAAAGCTTACATTAAAGTTTAAAAAATAATATGAAGGAAGTAATAAAGCAAAGACATTTAGGAAAGCTGATGGGTGGACATCACCAAAAGAAAATACCACTGTGACCAGGCCCCTGCAGTCACAGTTTATACCACAATGAATTTCCACACTCACAGTTTGCTGGGCCTTGGGGACCGTGACCTTCTGCCTAGGGATCGAGACCTCTTGTCCCGGGACCCTGCTTCCCTATTGCTCTTCCTGCCGGTGTTTCTAAGGGGTGAGTTCGAGGAGCTTCTAGACCGGGAACGGTTCTTCATTCCATACGCTCCCTTCTGCCCAGCCATCAGAGTACCCTGTTGTCCCTGGTTACGGTCAGAGTCCCTGACCTGTATCATTAAGAGAAGGAAAAGGGGGGGCATGAAAAAAAGCTATTCATAGGAAAATCCAGTAGTTCAAAAGGCAATGCAATAAAACAAGGAAAAGAATAAAATCAGCTGGGCGCGGAGGCGCATGCCTGAAATCCCAGCAACTTAAGAGGCTGAAGCAGGAGGATCRCAAGTGCAAAGCTAACCTAGGCAATTTAGCAAGRCTCTGAGCAATTTAGTGAGACCCTGTCTCAAAATAAAATATAAGGGCTGCGGATGTCACTTAGTGGTTAAACGCCTAAACACCCCCTTGGTTTAATCCCCAGGACCAAAAAAAATTAAAAATGAAATAATCAATTTTGTAAGGAATTCACAATAATTACAAAAAAGCATAAAATATTTGAACAGTTATCTCAGGATCCCCTAAAACAGCCAGGTATGGTGGCACATGCCTGTAATCCTGGCAACTCAAGAGGCTGAAGCAGAAAGATTGTAAGTTTGAGGTCAGCCTCGGCAACTTAGCATGCCCTGGTCTCAAAATAAAAAGGGCTGGGGATGTAGTTCAGTGGTAGAGCATCCCTAGGTTCAATCCCCAGGACCGCCACCACCTGCTACCCCCCACCAAAAAAAAACCTCCTAAGAGAAAGTACCCACCCCACCACTTAAATTGGCTTAGGTCTTCACTAGAGCCTAAGGAAGAGTAAGAGACAGCAGGGAGGGCAGCATCAAAAGTTAAAAACACGAAGGGATGTCCACAGGTAAAAAGCCATTAACCTCTACACTTAAAATGCATATATTTCATGTTGACTGCAGAGAGATAGGCAGAATATCTAAAGTGATTCTGTTTGCTTAGAGAATGCTCAGGCATGTAAGAAGCTCAGGGATAAGAAGTGGGCCTGTTCCCCAGCAACCCCAGCCTCCACTGTCCAATTTCCCTGCTATCTGCAGTTGTCAAGGTGGCACATGTCACAGTCCCACCRTCACTCCCTTTGAGAAGCCCACATCCCTACCTGTAAGCCATATCCAGGGACTTTAGACAAAACAGGAAAGGAATTTGCCATCTTCTTTTGAGATCTAAGAGATTAAAAAACACACATTCATTGAAAAAGAAAATGCATACAGGTCCACTTCAAATCTCTCATGCTGAAACATGCGTCCTGGTTCCAGTGTGACCTTCCCCACTTCCCAGCTATTACTTGGCAGTATGTTTCTCTATTTGGACTATCTTTGCTGGAAGATGCATCAGCACAGTTAAGCTTTCCCTGTGAAAAGCCGTGGGCCGAGCTTCTCAGCCCCAATGCCTAAACACATTCTCCTCTCACCTCATGTTTCTATTCCAGAGACTCATGGTGAGTCAGCAGGAGCAGAGCTGACTATTCCCACAGGGAAGATGGAAAGACACAGAAGGGGCAGTCATAGGCCCATTCATCCATTAAAAAAAAAAAAAACCCTATGTGAATCCCATGGCAGTCCTGAGAACTCAGCTAAGATGAAACAGTCATGCCAGGAAGTCGACCTAAGATCTGTGATCAGTTCTCTTAGGGGTGTCTCTCCAGTAGCACACCAGGAAACCCACCCACATATAGCATCTCCAGGGAATTCTAATGCTAGGAAACAAACTGGCACAAAGTCTACGTCCAAGTGTTCACCACTGAAACCCCAGTGCGGGGCAGTTTCCAGTTCCTGTTGTGGAATGAAAGAATGAATGGGCAAGTGAGTCAGTGCTGGAGGATGCCTGACTCGCTCACCTCCCCCGGCTGGGCTCGTCGTCCATGCTGGAGCGATCACTACTCGAGCTTCTGTGTTTGTGTTTCTTGTGCTTCTTTTTCTTCTCCTTCTTTTTCTTCTTCTCCTTTTTTTCCAAACTCATTTGCAACTAAAAAGTGTCCAGAACATAAACTTTCAAGGTTATTGAAACCTTTGTCAGTCCCTTCTGAGGGGACTGGTTCATGTACAAACTGATGCCATGCCTCTACAGGGGTCCAGGGCATTCTCAGGAGCTCCATGTCAACAAACCTGGTTGTACACAATGCACCCTAGATTCCCAAACAGAACCTCTGGTGAGTGTGCTAGGAATCTGTGTTTTAAACATCCCCAGAACCATTACCTAGGAGTTTCCATTCTTTCCACTCAAAGAAACTCTAACTCCTTTGGAAGTAATCAGAGACTGCAAAAATTACCAGCTGCTCAAAGAGTAACCATACATTATGTGAATGGTGAGCCATAACAGAGGACACTCCAATCCCCTGTGCATACTACATACCTGATTCCATAGGCATGGCCTACACCCCTCTTTTCCTGAAAATATGTGAGTACAGGGGTGCTTTTTCCAACCAGAAGACAAAAAAGGAAATTGAGCTTACTTAAATTTATTAAGATTGCATAAATATCACCAAGAGATGGTGTCTAAAAGAAAAGTCTTAAACATCATTCTGTTTTCCCTGGTAGGAAGAAACAGAGGGAAGATCTTATATTAAGTAGCTGAAAGACAGCTGGATGTGGTGGTACATTCCCATAATACCAACAACTTGGGAGGCTGAGGCAGGAGGATCACAAGTTCAAAGCCAGCCTCAGCCACTTAGCAAGACCCTGTCTCAAATAAAATTTTAAAAAAGGGTTGGGATGTAGTTCAGTGGTTCAATCCCCCATACCAAAACAAAACAAAAAAGTACCTAAAGGCTACTTTGTGCTTATTTGATGCATGACTTACCAATTCTTTGATTTTCTTCATTTTCACAGGATTGTTCAATACCTCTCTTTTTTTCTCCTCCTCTTTCTTCCTAAATGGAAGACATTATAAAAATCATTAATATTTCTCTTAGAAGGAAGATTAAATCATTCTCCTCTCCAAATTCTATATAACCACCATTGTAAGAAATGCTTTGTTGAAATCTACAGGATGGCATGGAAGCCAAAAATCTCCCCCAAATCTGCATAAGAGACTGTATATTGTGGGGAAAGTCTACTATGGGACACTGCCATGCAAGACAGTGAGTTAAAATTTTTTTCTCATTGGGCATCATACTCAAGGCTTCCCACCTGGTCAAGWAAATGGGTGTCACCTTATATATTGATTGGTTGCAACATTTCAAAAACTACCTCCATCTTTTATCATAATAATCACCTGGAAAATAAAGTCAATGCACTGATTCCTCTTTTTTTTGGTAGAGGAGGTACTGGGGCTTGAACTCAGGGGCACTCAACCTCTGAGCCAGCCATATCCCAGCCCTATTTTGTACTTTTATTTAGAGACAGGATCTCACAGAGTTGCTTAGCGCCTTGCTGTTGCTGAGGCTGGCTTTGAACTCACAATCCTCCTGTCTCTGACTCCCAAGCCACTGGGATACAGGCGTGTGCCACCATGCCCACCCTGATTCTTCTTTTAAGAAATTTTACTCTCAAACAGGGATGAGAGATGGGAGGGAAAGGGAGTGAGAAGGGAAATTGCATG